AGGGCCAGATACACCAGGCAGAAAGTAGAGTCAAGGAAGAAATGTCATTACCTCAGTGAAGAAGATTTGATTTGATTTGGATTCTGGAAGCAAAATCCAAGTCATACAGCACTCATCCAAAGATCTCAAAGTGCTTTACAAATCGATTAAGCTTCTCAATATCCCTGTGAAGCAAAGTAGGCAATAATCTCTGCATTCGCAACTGAAATGCAGCAAATTCTACAGAAGAAGTTTGCGGGGTATCAACCTCTCCCAATAGAACGAGACACACAAAGCAATTTAATCCAAGAAGCAAGGGATACTTTATTAATTTAAAACCACACGAGGAATTAAAGAAGCCAAAATGGAATTAACTGACTTGGAATCTGGCCGGGACAGCACATTTATCACTGATCTTCCCATAAAAGGTTTCATAAGATATTTAATGACAAGCAGTGCCTTAGGTCCTTGGTTTTATGTCCTTCCACAAAGAACATTTCCAGGAAAGGGCAATGCTTCTGGTTCTGACGCAAGACAATACAGGACTTCCTAAATAACCAGCACACTTACCCAAGAAGTTCCTTGGTAGCTATCCATCCTGCTTAGCTTAGTTAATGATTTCTGACAAGATCATTGCAAAAAGCTGCCTGTATTCAGGCCAGAGACATAATTAGGAGTTTCTCTCACTGATGGTGTTTTGATTTTTGAGATTCATGACTGAAAAGTGCAGAGTAGTATAATTATTCTTTTTTCATTTCTCTTGCTGCTGTCTTCTGAATAGCCGACAAATGGAACCCTGGGCTCTTAATAATCAAGAGCACATTCAGCATTGTGGGAAATGAAAACACTACAGTGAATGGAAAATGGCTAAAGCTGTTAGAAACATCATAAAACATACAGTGTATGATGCACTGGAAGTATGAAAAGCACTTAATTGTAAAAGTACCATTTTCCTAACTTCAGGCATTCACATTGCTAATTGATCTAGAGTATTAAATGAGTATCTTAGATGACCTTTAATGGACTTATTTTGTTGCCATAAGCCTATACATGTTTTAAGTACTGAATTAAGGTATGCACAGTGTCAGTAAAACCAGCACAGTGTATTGGTACTAAGTCAGCTGTCTTCATTTTGGTTCCAAGATGCTCATCGCATGCACTGACTCATACCAAATATTCAAGAGTAACAGAAGGGAATGATATAACTCACCACTTTATAAAAATAGCAATCGTTCCATTACTACAGTCTCATGAATGTTGATGCCATTTATATGTACAACAAATCTTAGGCATTATAGAGATTCTGGAAAGGGACTTTGAAAACAAAGAATATATATATATATCCAGTCAAGTAAGTGATTGTAAACCCTCCCTGCTATAAAGAAAAAAAAATGTTCTGGCACTACGCCGTAATCACTGATGAGCTTTAAATTCTCAAGTGTACCAGATAAGCTGCCAGAAACCGAGGAGAAGAAATAATATTCAATGCAGAACAGATGTAGTCTACCAAAATAATTTCTTAAAGGTTTTTCACTAGTGTAAGGAAACGTCTGTTTTTGATCCAGAAAGTAGAATGCACTAACACTGAAGCGGGACTCCAACTATATTTCCCAACCAAAAGAAACTGAAATAACCATTGTAGAGCATCCAATGAAAGAGCTGCACAGAAATTCCAGATATTTTGGATGTGTATTTAAAGCCTAGAGTATCACTGCAGCATTTAGAATATATATTACACGAATGCTTGATTTACAGAGCCTGTCACACAGGAATAGAAATGTCTAGATGACTTCGTCAATGGATTTCACCATATATATTTATATAATGCTTCAACCCTCCTTATTGTAGCTCTCATTAAACTAGATTATCACTGCAGCCTTTTGGGTGTTAATTTAAATATTCTCTATAAAAGTATTAACATATATATGTAAACCAAATAAAAGATTCACAGTATTGCAGCTCAGGTCCTCTTGGCATGAACAAAATCAGGATCAGACCTTTAGATCTACACTGTTTCCACTAATGATGAAAAGATTTACAATCACCATATAAAGGAGATGACAGCACATATATTTAGAGCCAATATCTGATCTGCGTCAGTGCCCTCTAGGTTCTGTAGTTGTTCTGACGGGGGAAAAAAGCTCTGGTTAACTGGCGAGTACCAGCAGAGGGCAAACAAGTAAATAACTTTCCTTGGAAGTGAGATGACACCACATAAAACATTGTTATAGAAGTCTCACTAAGGGCATGAGCCGAAGGCAGTAATACTGCACAGGTTGAGCTGATTTGGGTCTGCAGAAACTCACATGACTTGCTAATGTCATGCAAGTCAGGGAAAAAAAAGTTAACTTTAAGGTCAGAGCCTAGAGTGAGGGTCCAGGACTGAAAATTAAAACAAATAACTTAAAAGGATATAGATGTGATGGCAGAAATCAGTGAACTGAAAGGATTATGGAATCTAACAGTTCTTTTTTTTATGGGGTCAGAGACTGCATTTCAAATGTCACTGAGCTACTACTACCTCTACATCAGCACCTTTACCCCTTGGTTACTGCTTACTATTATTTGTTGCCTCCAAATATTTACCTAAATGGATACTAGTAGAGCCCGAGCATCCTTGGACCAAATGTGATATTTTAAGGCTTTAAAATGACAATGTGGACTTGGAAATGACCTCAGGAGTTCATCTAGTCCAACCCCCTGCTCAAGGCAGCATCATGTCACTGTGAACCACCCGAGACAAATATTTGTCTGACCTGCACTTCAAAACTTCCACAGCCTTTCTAAAGTAATCTGTTCCTGTACAGAAGCAGTAAAGAAGCTCCCTCAGAGTAAAAAAATATCCTGACTATCTAATAAACTAACCTAATTTAATCTAATATCTACTTTAAATCTTCCTTGTCGCAATTCGAGACAATTATTTTTTATTCCCTAATCTCTTTATAACAACCCTTTTTGTATATGAAGGCTATTAACAAATCCCCACTCCGTCTTCTCTTCTCTAGACTAAGCAATCCCAACTCTTCCAAGCTTTCCTTACACAGTAAAGATTTGAGGAACAGAAAGCTTCCAAGAGTTTCTTAATAAAGTTCCAGCAAAATCTTAGAGAGGTTAATGGGACACTACTTTTGAGAGCAGGACATGTACAAAGACACACCTCCTGCTCTCAAGGTTAACAATACTATAACCCAGCGGTTCCCAACCTTGGGTTGCGAACCAAATGAGGGTTGCGGGGACAATGCCAGCGGCGCTGCACCCATAGGACAAGCCACACCGCATGCCGGGAGCTCCCCCACCCCCAGGACGCCACGATCTGCTCCCAGCAGCAGGTCACAGCAAAAAAAAAGTTGGGAACCACTGCTATAACCCAACAGTACTCACAATATGAATTATATTCCATGTATTTCCAAAAAAACACCAAAGACAAATAATTTCTGCAGAATGGTTCCAGGTGGTAACAATAATGCTTTTGTTAATGCTTTCAAGAACTCTGCAGACTGGGTCAATAAGAGAGCACAAATCTGAGGTCTCCACAAACTTCAGCAAGTGAAATGCACTGTGGTATTTAAGGAGTACTTTAATGCAAAAGAGAGAGTGGGCTCATTTATTTATTAGGCTATATTTAAAAAAAAAAATCAAGTCTGGTGTTCATATTACAGAGCAATATAGTAATTTCCCCTGTGCAAGCCTACTGTGCTAGCTAGTGTCAGCCAAGCATTATTGTAGAAGGGCTTTATATTTTAATGAAAACAGGCTGATGCCAGTACAGAAACATACTTCAGCTTGTTTGTAAACCAGAAATACATCAGAAATACATAAACATCACTCAGCACATTAGACTCACTTGAACATCAACCTTTAGTTTGATTTATTTCAATAGAGCTGTTTATGCAGATATATAAGGGGAAAAATTATCCACTGATTTACAACAAGATGGACTCATATATACATTTTAAATTGGAAATATTTCTTGTTTTAATACAAAATTTGCATTTGTGAAAACAGGGCTATTAATTATAAGTACTGACAAAATCTTAACTATATTGTTTTGCAGGGCTGACAAAAGAGCAAATGCTCATGTTTACATTTTTGAAAGCATATGGTATACTTGTTCATCCTGACAAGAAATCAAAGAACAGAGCTGTGGTGAAATCAATCTATTTAACAAAAACCTGTGCGCTAAGGTACTTCATGCAAATATCTTCAGCTTGTATTTGAGAAGCAGGAGTGAGTGCTACTGATTGTACCAAGTGGCTCTACTGCATCATTTATGATTATTTATTAGCATTATTTCTAAATGGATTTTAAAAAGGTTCATTGGGGATCTCAACCATTTATGAAGAGGACAATTTGTTCAAATCAAATGAAACAACTACTGAGAAAAGCGGCCCAACAATAAAGAGAAATCAGGGCTAAAAATATCATTTTCTTTTTATTTTAAAGACTCGGAGCCATCTGGTTTACAAGTTGACAGTAGTCAGGCAGCTGCTGAAGGGTATGATAGACAGATCTGAGAGATATGCAAAGCAGAAATGCAACTGCATAATTACATAAAAATGACATGTTCACTAGTAGTGAGAAAGAAAAGTGTGTACAGAAGCATGGGATCACTGGAGAAGAATAGTACAAGAGGGTATATTTACACTGACAATTTGGCAACGTGGAACTATAGCTCATTTGAAGGAGGCATATATTTGCATGTTATCTGCATGCAGGCACAATAGGAAAGCTCTTCATCTGTGCTCAATGACCAGTTCTCACTCTGATCATAAAGCTTTGGTTAGAGAATAAGTGCTTCTTTACAAAGGAAAGTTATTGTGGCATAAACTAACATTGGATTTAGACCAATATAGTTTTATATGAGCATAACTTCTAGTACTAAGTGCCTTTTTAAAAGATACATTTTTCCACTTATTCCATTGTAGGAAAAGATTAAGATAGTTAAAAAAAACCCAAACAAACCAACAAACCCCACACACCCTCATACATTGAAATTAGGTGTCTCATACAAAGAGCTATACCGCTACAGTTACTGGTATAACTGGTAACATGTTTCCATGATTGTACTTTTTGGAGGTTCCATTATGGTTTTTCGTTAACATGGAGGCTAAGTACAGACAGTCAAAAAGGCCAAGAATGAATCGATTCAGGTTAGTCTAAGCAGGTTAGTCTAAGCTGCGTAGGTTGAACTAATAAGCAAGCGAACAGACATTCACTTTTGATTCCAGAAATGCAGTTACATGCCTGCAGTGACCCAGGCCAAAAGCTGGGGGGCGCTAGTGTACACCGCCCCACTTCCGTGGAGTGGAAAGCTTGGGCAAAGGCTGGCCTGCCCACCCTGCAAGGCAGGGTGTGTGGCGGAGGTGCAAAGCATCCTGGGATGCTGGGGGACTGTGAGTTAACTGGAATCTGGCAAGGATCTGGGACAGAAGTACAATGACCGATTTAACCTAAATCAGTTAAATCACCTAAATCATCCATCCTGATTTATTTTAAATTGGTTTCAGCCATTTTGAGAGTGGTTTATATGCACTGAACATCTGTTGTGTTACAAATTTGAACCAGTTTCCAATCACTTATATTGGTTTACGTGTAATTTCTGTACTTAGCCTGAAAGATGATGTAGTAAGTTATTGCCTAATATATTTTCTTTAAGCCAATGTTCAATCATAACCCTTATACCCACCACCTTAATCAGCCACCATCCTCAAACCCACCTTAATTTGGGTATAGATGACTTGAGCAATGACCTGAGGCCGCATAAAAAAAAAGCTCCAAAATTTGAGGCCAATAACTGAGGTTTCGTTTGGGAAGTGTTGCCAGTGTAAAATATCAGACAGTATATCATAAAGAAGACAACTGTCCTTACCTCAATTTAAAACATCTTACACAAATAATGCAACTTCCCAATCAATCTTATACCAGGTGCAGTCTTCTTTACAGACAGAAACCAACCAGAAACTGATGTTACAAAACATACAAAATGAAAAGGCTCAGAAATATTTTATATCCATTGTTCCTTCTCTTCTGCTTTTATGAAGCAGATAACATATGTACCAATACTTAGTTTGAGTCATTAATATTTTGAAACTAAAATGTCTTGTTGGGAAATCAATAAAGCAATGCTCAACATCATGTACAGTAGACTAAAAAACTACTAAACAATATGATGAAGTTACAGAAAATCAATGGACTATTCAAACTGGATACTAGCAGAGTAGATATAAAAATTACCTACAAGTCTAAATATCCACCCAGAGAGAGTTAACCAGTATACATTTCTCCTATTCCCGACGTAATGAGAATCAATAAAACATGCAATCAACTATAAAAAAAAAAAATCCATCTGAAATAACATACAATACAACCTTATGGAATTCCCTTAATAAATCCAAAGAATGTCTGTTGTGCTCCATAGACAAGGATGTTAATGCAACAGCCTATAATAAGTGCAGAACTCATGGAAAAAACAACAAAGAATGCCAGGTTTTGTGGAAAGTATTTATAATTAGTCTGTAGAAAAGGAAAGGCTATGCCTTCTCTGAAGAGATGCTGTTAAAGTAAAAATGTGCTTAACCCTTTACTGATCAGATCCAAATGTAGACAGTTTTTTTAAATGAAAATGCTACATCAATGTATAGGTCATTATAAGGCCTATAAGTGCAATATTTGAAAATGCTTTACCCTCTCATATTTTTGAGTCTTCTTCAGTTACTCCTTTCTTGTCATTACATGCATTTCTTATGCATTATTAAACAAAATACTGTAAATACATTTTGGGCCTGATTTTGTATCCCTCCATCTTAATAAGTAAAAAAAAAAAAAAAGTTATTGAAATGAATAGATTTGCACAATTGTAAAACTGGTCTAAGTAAAAAAGAAAATCAAGTCCTTTATACTTTATTTTCCTTATTTTATGAGATTATTGTATTTAAAAGCAGAGCAGTAACATGCAAAATAGAAGAAGAACATCTATCTTTGAACATCTACCTATTCAATATTCTATTATATGATAAATCAATCTCGTGCCCCCAGGAAATGTAAACACTGAAAGTAAGGACACTTTGGTATCAATAATGACATAATTTATTTTACCTTATTTAGAAAAAAATCTGCCCAAATGCCCTGAGTGACCTGGGTGATATGTTAGGAACAGGTGGTCATGGGAAATGTATAGTTCCAAAATTAGGCATACTGATCAGATATTAAATATAATGGGTAGGGGGCTGGGTTTATTTTACTGATCATTTAATGCTCCTATGAGACACACAGGCACATTTCCAAATGGATTTTAGTAGAATATGTTGATGGCCAATTCTTCCTCTGGAGAAACAAAGTAATTTAGATGTTTAAAATTGTAATGTCTAATTTAGGTATATGAGGGCGTCTGTGGGTCCCCCGCATGCTGGGGAGGTCCATAGGCCCAATCCGGCCTGCAGGCCAGCTCTACACTATTCATCCAGCCCATAGACCAGTTCCTTGCCACTCATCTGGCCCACGGGGCTAGATGAGTTTGGGACCCCCGATGTAAATTCATCAGAGGTTACTTTGGCCTAGTCAGCCCAGGTATCTGCTGCTGTAGGTATAGCAGCCACCATTTCAGTTTTCTAAAATGTAAGTGCCAATAGTTCTTTTATATTCTGATTTAAAACTAAACAGGTAGAAAAAGTTACAACATCCCAATTATAGTTCAGAATAGAAACCCACACAAAGATGATGTGCTTTTTACCCAGCTATTAGATTCAGAGGAATCCCTCTTTAAAACAAACAACACAACTGAAATGTACTGTAGCTGAGAAATTGCTTGACTGTAGAGGAATACCAACTAGTTTATTTTAAAATTGCACACTTTAAAATTAATATTTGAATCCTAATTTGAATTTTATGTCTATTCCATATGTAATTTTAAGTAGGAAAAAAGAAATATGGCTAAGATATGCTCTATTGACTTCAGTGCACATGGTTGCATTTACACCGTAATGATGTTCTAGCTCCATAATCTTATTAATGGCAAAGCACAAGGACAAATATTAATTTTAGTTTGGAAGATAAAAGCAACAGGTTTATTCATATATGTTTTGCACATTTGGAAACAATGACACCTGACATCTAGAGCACAGATTAAATTTACTGACTCCTCTATCTTGTGTAATTGCTTTAAGCTGTATAAACTGTCAGTGATGGTTGCATAGAAACAGCCATATAAATTTAATGTGCACATAAATTTTTAAATAAAGGATTTAAGTTTTATGGATCCAAGGCCAGATCCCAATCTGGTGTAAAGCAGCATAGCTCCCTTGAAGTCAATGGATCTATGCTAATTGACATCTGCTAAGAATCCAGCTGCCAGTGTGTGCCTTTAATGCACAGGGGAGAAATATGGGAGATCCTATTCTAACCTTCCAATAGATTTTTATGTAAGATTTTATCATAAAAAGGTGAGTGTGTTACAAATAAATGAGTAAATTCTAGCTGCAGAATCTATCACATGCCATAAAATAGAATTGTGGTCCATAATAATTCATTCAATAAATATTAAAACAACAAATTATAAAATTTTTAATTCATAGATTCATAGATGATAGGGTCAGAAGGGACCTCAATAGATCATCGAGTCTGACCCCCTGCATAGGCAGGAAAGAGTGCTGGGTCTAGATGACCCCAGCTAGATGGTTATCTAACCTCCTCTTGAAGACCCCCAGTGTAGGGGAGAGCACCACCTCCCTTGGGAGCCCGTTCCAGACCTTGGCCACTCAAACTGTGAAGAAGTTCCTCCTAATGTCCAATCTAAATCTGCTCTCTGCTAGCTTGTGGCCATTATTTCTTGTTTAATTATGCTATTAAAGAAAAAAGAAAGAATGAGCAGTGGTGAAGGAGGAAGAAAGGGTACCATATGATAGCACTACGAAATCTAAAAGACTAAATAAACGTAGATAACAGCATATAGCCTACTGAAATCAATGGGAGCCTTCCCATATATTTCAAATGGCTCTGGAGGTGGCCTATAGGAGTTGATTCTGTAAGGGGTGGAAAACTTCTCAACAAGTTTTAATATGCCCTGAATATTGCAGATACTGATGTGAATTAATTGCCTATAGTTACTTATAAAAAGCAATTAGCAATCTTGAATGACCACTCTAGCATGTCAAAAAGAGGCTCTCCCTCTCATGCCTGTACTGTGCAGTTTAACCCTGCAAGTAAAATCATCTCTCTAGTGTATTTATTATTCAAATCCAATTAAACAAAATGTTAGGAAAGGATATTGTATACACACACACTTAACACCAAGGTGTTAGGATTTGGAATAGCAGTTTGAACTCCTCTTATATCCTCTAGTTGACATAATAAAGCAACCAAACTGTATGTCAGTACTGTTCATTTTGCTTTATGCAAATAGAATGTATTTGCATTTACACGGGGGCCTCCAGATTTAGCTTTAAAGCCAAGTCATCCATTTTAATAAAAGGCCCTCTTGCTTGTAGATTAAAACTATTGGTTTAGGAAATTAGGAAGGATTAATATTTAGCAGTAGCTCTTCCTTCATGATTCAGTACCAATATTGGGAGCAATGTAGGAGGGATAACTGAGATTGTAGCTCTTTCTTGAGACTTCAATACTAATATTGGGAGAGACATAGAAGGAATAATTAAGTTTACATCTCTTCCTTGAGGCTTTAGTATCGATAGTACAGAGGTAAGGAAAGAGCATTTCTGAGCAATATGAACAAGAAGCCCTTAAAACTCTTCCTTTGGCTCCTATAATAGGTTATGTAGATTCACAGTGGTGAACACTTCCACATAGGGTCAGAGCCTCACATGGTGCACACTAACCTCAGGGAAGCCATTCTGGTTTACACCAGATATGCATCTTGATATCAGGAGAGGTTAAAGGAAGTTCTGCCCTTTCTAGTTGACAGTGGAAACTAAAGCGGTCTGACCTGAAGACATATTAAAGCAACCATTGATCTATTCCTAGCTTATTAAATTCCTTCAACTTCTCATGACTACTGTTTTGTTTAGGATTCAAGCAATTGCTCCTTTTAAGTCACTACATCTTCAGCACAGTATGAAAGAGAATTAGACACTGAATTCCCATTGGCCTG